ATGCGCGTGGAAACGCGGTGTATTTCACAGCACCCCAGTTAATTTTGAAATTTATCCATAGTAGAGTAATAGTAGACACCAGAACTATGGAGTGCTGCAGAAATAACCCATAGTTCTGGCCCCAGCAGCCTCCAGTATGCTAATTTAGCGTGGATGCGCGTGGAAACGCGGTGTATTTCACAGCACCCCAGTTAATTTTGAAATTTATCCATAGTAGATTAATAGTAGACACCAGAACTATGCAGTGCTGCAGAAATAACACATAGTTCTGGCCCCAGCAGCCGCCAGCTTGCTAATTTAGCGTGGATGCGCGTGGAAACCCGGTGTATTTCACAGCACCCCAGTTAATTTTGAAATTTATCCATAGTAGATTAATAGTAGACACCAGAACTATGGAGTGCTGCAGAAATAACCCATAGTTCTGGCCCCAGCAGCCTCCAGTATGCTAATTTAGCGTGGATGCGCGTGGAAACGCGGTGTATTTCACAGCACCCCAGTTAATTTTGAAATTTATCCATAGTAGAGTAATAGTAGACACCATAACTATGGAGTGCTGCAGAAATAACCCATAGTTCTGGCCCCAGCAGCCTCCAGTATGCTAATTTAGCGTGGATGCGCGTGGAAACGCGGTGTATTTCACAGCACCCCAGTTAATTTTGAAATTTATCCATAGTAGAGTAATAGTAGACACCAGAACTATGGAGTGCTGCAGAAATAACCCATAGTTCTGGCCCCAGCAGCCTCCAGTATGCTAATTTAGCGTGGATGCGCGTGGAAACGCGGTGTATTTCACAGCACCTCAGTTAATTTTGAAATTTATCCATAGTAGATTAATAGTAGACACCAGAACTATGCAGTGCTGCAGAAATAACACATAGTTCTGGCCCCAGCAGCCGCCAGCTTGCTAATTTAGCGTGGATGCGCGTGGAAACCCGGTGTATTTCACAGCACCCCAGTTAATTTTGAAATTTATCCATAGTAGATTAATGGTAGACACCAGAACTATGGAGTGCTGCAGAAATAACCCATAGTTCTGGCCCCAGCAGCCTCCAGTATGCTAATTTAGCGTGGATGCGCGTGGAAACGCGGTGTATTTCACAGCACCCTAGTTAATTTTGAAATTTATCCATAGTAGAGTAATAGTAGACACCAGAACTATGGAGTGCTACAGAAATAACCCATAGTTCTGGCCCCAGCAGCCTCCAGTATGCTAATTTAGCGTGGATGCGCGTGGAAACGCGGTGTATTTCACAGCACCCCAGTTAATTTTGAAATTTATCCATAGTAGAGTAATAGTAGACACCAGAACTATGGAGTGCTGCAGAAATAACCCATAGTTCTGGCCCCAGCAGCCTCCAGTATGCTAATTTAGCGTGGATGCGCGTGGAAACGCGGTGTATTTCACAGCACCCCAGTTAATTTTGAAATTTATCCATAGTAGATTAATAGTAGACACCAGAACTATGCAGTGCTGCAGAAATAACACATAGTTCTGGCCCCAGCAGCCGCCAGCTTGCTAATTTAGCGTGGATGCGCGTGGAAACCCGGTGTATTTCACAGCACCCCAGTTAATTTTGAAATTTATCCATAGTAGATTAATAGTAGACACCAGAACTATGGAGTGCTGCAGAAATAACCCATAGTTCTGGCCCCAGCAGCCTCCAGTATGCTAATTTAGCGTGGATGCGCGTGGAAACGCGGTGTATTTCACAGCACCCCAGTTAATTTTGAAATTTATCCATAGTAGAGTAATAGTAGACACCATAACTATGGAGTGCTGCAGAAATAACCCATAGTTCTGGCCCCAGCAGCCTCCAGTATGCTAATTTAGCGTGGATGCGCGTGGAAACGCGGTGTATTTCACAGCACCCCAGTTAATTTTGAAATTTATCCATAGTAGAGTAATAGTAGACACCAGAACTATGGAGTGCTGCAGAAATAACCCATAGTTCTGGCCCCAGCAGCCTCCAGTATGCTAATTTAGCGTGGATGCGCGTGGAAACGCGGTGTATTTCACAGCACCTCAGTTAATTTTGAAATGTATCCATAGTAGATTAATAGTAGACACCAGAACTATGCAGTGCTGCAGAAATAACACATAGTTCTGGCCCCAGCAGCCGCCAGCTTGCTAATTTAGCGTGGATGCGCGTGGAAACCCGGTGTATTTCACAGCACCCCAGTTAATTTTGAAATTTATCCATAGTAGATTAATGGTAGACACCAGAACTATGGAGTGCTGCAGAAATAACACATAGTTCTGGCCCCAGCAGCCGCCAGCTTGCTAATTTAGCGTGGATGCGCGTGGAAACCCAGTGTATTTCACAGCACCCCAGTTAATTTTGAAATTTATCCATAGTAGATTAATGGTAGACACCAGAACTATGGAGTGCTGCAGAAATAACACATAGTTCTGGCCCCAGCAGCCGCCAGCTTGCTAATTTAGCGTGGATGCGCGTGGAAACCCGGTGTATTTCACAGCACCCCAGTTAATTTTGAAATTTATCCATAGTAGATTAATGGTAGACACCAGAACTATGGAGTGCTGCAGAAATAGCACATAGTTCTGGCCCCAGCAGCCGCCAGCTTGCTAATTTAGCGTGGATGCGCGTGGAAACCCGGTGTATTTCACAGCACCCCAGTTAATTTTGAAATTTATCCATAGTAGATTAATGGTAGACACCAGAACTATGGAGTGCTGCAGAAATAACACATAGTTCTGGCCCCAGCAGCCGCCAGCTTGCTAATTTAGCGTGGATGCGCGTGGAAACGCGGTGTATTTCACAGCACCTCAGTTAATTTTGAAATTTATCCATAGTAGATTAATAGTAGACACCAGAACTATGCAGTGCTGCAGAAATAACACATAGTTCTGGCCCCAGCAGCCGCCAGCTTGCTAATTTAGCGTGGATGCGCGTGGAAACCCGGTGTATTTCACAGCACCCCAGTTAATTTTGAAATTTATCCATAGTAGATTAATGGTAGACACCAGAACTATGGAGTGCTGCAGAAATAACACATAGTTCTGGCCCCAGCAGCCGCCAGCTTGCTAATTTAGCGTGGATGCGCGTGGAAACGCGGTGTATTTCACAGCACCCCAGTTAATTTTGAAATGTATCCATAGTAGATTAATGGTAGACACCAGAACTATGGAGTGCTGCAGAAATAACACATAGTTCTGGCCCCAGCAGCCGCCAGCTTGCTAATTTAGCGTGGATGCGCGTGGAAACGCGGTGTATTTCACAGCACCCCAGTTAATTTTGAAATTTATCCATAGTAGATTAATGGTAGACACCAGAACTATGGAGTGCTGCAGAAATAACACATAGTTCTGGCCCCAGCAGCCGCCAGCTTGCTAATTTAGCGTGGATGCGCGTGGAAACCCGGTGTATTTCACAGCACCCCAGTTAATTTTGAAATTTATCCATAGTAGAGTAATAGTAGACACCAGAACTATGGAGTGCTGCAGAAATAACACATAGTTCTGGCCCCAGCAGCCTCCAGTATGCCAATTTAGCGTGGATGCGCGTGGAAACGCTGTGTATTTCACAGCACCCCAGTTAATTTTGAAATTTATCCATAGTAGATTAATGGTAGACACCAGAACTATGGAGTGCTGCAGAAATAACACATAGTTCTGGCCCCAGCAGCCTCTAGTATGCTAATTTAGCGTGGATGCGCGTGGAAACGCGGTGTATTTCACAGCACCCTAGTTAATTTTGAAATTTATCCATAGTAGAGTAATAGTAGACACCAGAACTATGGAGTGCTACAGAAATAACCCATAGTTCTGGCCCCAGCAGCCTCCATACATCTCAACGAGCCTTCAAATGTATCGCGTAATGTCTGATGTGCCGGGATGCTATGTCCCGCAATACGGCTGGGGCGCGCCCCTGCGCGCCTGAAAACTTTTTCCGTTATATTAGCTTCATTTTTGCAGAACTATTCATAATTTCCATCAGGAACTCTAGAACTATACCCTTAGAACCGAAAAATCACTCGAGAACTGTTGCACTATCAAAAAGGGGTGCGGCGCGAAGTTAGCACCCCTTTTTTTGTTTTAAAAAAAAAAAATACTTAGGCATGAGAACTATTGTTGCACCCCTCTCAGAACTCTAGAACTATCCTAAAAGTACTCAGAACTCCTGAGAAAATCAGGTGTGCTTGATTTTCGGGTGCTAACTTTGCACCGGTCACTAAATTTTTGACTTGGGGAATCTTCACAAAAAAAACAGACTTAAACTGTGTTTGCGTGCGGAAAAGTAACACTTTGCGCATTTGTTAGGAAAATAACTATCTCAGCATAAATAATGATAATAACAATGATATTACTGATGCTCATCCATCAAATTAAAAAAAAAAACTCAATGGAGATAAATTCTGCGGAATCCATGAGGTAAATTTACTAGGTCACAGGAATATCAGATTTTTTTATTTAAAAAAAAAAAAAACAAGCTTTACCCATTTATCGTTTCTTTAGGGCCGGCTTATTCACCTTCTGATAAACTGTCAGGTTATATAATCTGACGGATAAAAACACAATTTGTCAAAAAATTACATTTTCACACTCATTTCTGTGCGAAATATCTCAAATTGGTTTTATTTACCTTAGCGACGTGCACGAAATACTTTGCGCACTAGAGCACGAAATACTTCGTGCACTCCATAATGCCCGTATTACATCTGTATATTTTTCCGTGTATTTATTCATGTAGTTCATGACAACCGAAAAACTTCAAACGCAACATAAATCAGCATTATGAAAAACAAAATAATGTTGGCACCATGAACTACATGAATAAATACACGGAAAATACACACATGTAATACGGGCACAACAGTGGTTATAATACCTATTTTAGTAGTTCAATGTGCTTCAAAAATACTCAAATTGGAGGAAATTGAACGACAAAGTGTGTAATAAAAATTAACTAGCGTACACCTGGGGTGCGCTACTACGCTAAAAAAAGAATTACATTTTGTCATTTTTATTTTTTTCTTACCTGCTAACCCTCTGTATATGGATGTTATTTGATATGGGGTCGACTAGTAAGTGTGTCCTTTCATTGGGTTCACCGTTCTGGGTGATAAAAACAGTGATAAAATAAAGCATAAATCAACAAAGTACCTACAAAGGCAAAGAATTCGTTGTGACGTATTACCTGTGAAGAGTTGTCATATTTGCATAGCAAACTCCAGCAACATCCCATTATTTACTGATTTTAGCACCGTTTTTTTCTGAATTTTTATGAACTTTATTGTGTATAAAACACCCATTTGTATTTTTTTATTTTTTATTTATATTTGTTGGCTGGCAAGTGCCAAAGTTAATGAACTGTCAGATGAAGGGCTTTGTTTGCGAAACACGCTCCGAACATGTTCGGAATTGATCCAGGATTGTCGTATAGTGCAAGATACGGAGTAGAGTTAATTGAGCTCACTAAAAGTTCAACTTGTCCTAACATGTTTGGTTTATCAAGAATCTGATCTAAATCCACTCCAGGTTTCTACTCATATTTGCTAGACCTACGTTTTGAAGAGAATACAGTTCCTATATAAGTGTCCATATTTGTTTAGAGCAGATCGAGCAGGTACAAATGAAAACCGTTGATATAAATTGCCATTCGCCAATATGACAGTTTTGGCATAGCATTTGTTGAAATTGAATTTTTTGGGTTCATTTTTGAGCTCTAGCACAGCCTCCTACATTTAACAAGCCATGAAGTTAAAAAGGCAACACCGCAATCTTACCGCCAAGTGGTGCTGGACTGGTGGTGTTTATTTGTATAAATATATATTTTTTATTTTATTAATATGAATCACAAAAAATGCATAATTTATTGTACTAAAGGGCCAAAAACAGTAATTCAATGAATAATTTAACTATTTGTGTAAATAAGAACAGTAAATAATATTTGATTTAAATGAATATATTTCTAGAGTCTAAAGTGTTATAGGCCTATGTTTCAGTATGTCTTTTGAAAATCTAACTTTTTCTTTCTTCGGAATTTTTTCGGAAGGCGATTCCATTCAAATACTTGAGCTGATTTTCGAAAATAAGAGGTACCTACTTTTAAGAGTTGGACGTTTTAGTTTGAACTCTCGAACTAGGCCTTTATCCTTGTTTGTTTCAAATCTAATTATTTCGGTTTCTTCAAAATGTTTACAACACACCACAGAATTTTTCGTTATTGTATAATCTAGGGTATAATTATCTTGGTGTATTAAATACAATAATACAAAATATGTCTTAAGAGAATAAAAAATCTTTGGTTTATATACAAAAGAAATTTAACGATAATACCTAAGACTTAAACCTAAAATTCAAATGAGTCACCACAATATATGATTGCTTTTTTTTTTTTAAATATCTTTATTTCACAACAATTGATATAATATTTGTTTACAATAAATTCTCTAAACAGTGCCTATATAGCTCTGGCCTCGAGAATACTTAAAATTATATGTATATAAGTGTTGGACACTTAAAAATTTACTTAATTTTAACAATACCTATCCTATATTCCTAAAAATATTTTGATTTTTTTAACAAACAGTTGGAAATTATTTATACTATTTTTTATGTTCTCTGGAACCTTGTTATATGACTTGCTGGCCAGTAAAAAAGGGTTATTTAGTCCTATATTTGTTCTTGTGTTTATTTGATAAATATTATTCTGATATCTAGTATTGTGACAATGTACCTACATCGTTATTCATTGCAAAGCTTATATTAGATTTCTGCGTTTTGTTTAATATTTTATAAATCAATTTGATTTGTTCAAACTCCAATACTACATATGTTAAATTACAAAACTATATAAACCAATAAAAAAAAAATGCCCCACTTTTACTTAAATAAAAAGTAAGTATAAAAATAATTTATAAATTTAGAAGCCTTGTTTAAAACAGTGAAACTGCCAAAGTATAGGAAAATATTTATGTGGGACATTATAAGTCTTTTGAAAATTTATGAAAACAATACTAACAAGACTAGTAAAGTAGTAAACATTAATAATCCTAAATTAAATAATAAAGATTCAAATAATCAAAATGCAATGATAGGTACATTTCATTTGATCAAACAGTTTAAATGTGAAAAAAATTTATTCCAACAAAAATCAGAAACTAAAATATTTCTGATTTTTTGTTAAAAAAAAAATAGTACCTACTTACTACCAAAATAATACCTAATTATTATTACAAAAAAAAAAATGAAAAATAGTCCAAAAAAATTTAATCAAGTTGATTAAGTCTTTAAATTTTGATTTTATGATTTCACTTTGGGGACGGTACTTACACCATTTTTCTCTTCAAACTTTTGTTGCAAAGAAGATACATTCGAGTTAGATCTAGATGCATTTTTAACTCCAACCAAGTGAGCTTTAATAGGTGTTGCATCTGATTTAGCCTTGGTCACTTTGGATGCTAGTGGAGGCTTAACTTCGGCCTTCTTTTCTTGGGAACTTGGAATTGATGGTCCAGTTTTGGTGTTTTGGACCTTGACTGAATTTTTCTGAGTGACTGTCGGCTTAGTAGCTGTAATTGAAAGCTTCTTGTTGATGGCACTGGCAGAACCTCTATTCACTACATCTGGATTTTTATTTCCTGAATTCGTGTTACAACTTGTAACAAGGTCAGGACTGTTTGTTATGGATCGGTTCGACTTTATTGAAGCTTGAGAAAGGGGCCTCGTTGGTGAAGGTTTTCTGGTTCTTAAGTTAGGCGGAGTTATTTGCCTGTTAACTGTGGCAGTCTTTGAGGGATTTGTGTTAGTATAAGATGTTACATTTTTACTAGGTGAAGGTTTTATAGTCGCTGATTTATTGGTACTTCTATCACTGGTTGAATCACTGGGTTTCTTGTTATCATTGCTTGGATCACTGGGTTTTTTTGAAGCACCAAAAGGCTGTCTTGAATTATCAGTTCTAAAAGAACTCAATATAGGTTTTGAGTCTTTATCTGGTTTTTTAATAGCAGGTTCTTGGACTGGCACATTGACAGCGAACAGTAATATGTAACCACTTGAAGTAGTGCTGGCACTTGACTTTAGATTGCCCATGTTACTATATTCATTTTCACTTGGTGATAAATTTGCATAGTCGGAGCTGTTAGGTGAGGAAACGCGTTGTGCTTCCTTTTTCTTCTTCAACGTTGAAGTCGAGTAAATAGAATCAAAATTTCTATTTTGTATTTCAGATACAATTTCGCCCAAAACTCCACTGTCTGTAGCATCTGGAGCATTATTAGCTTTCTTTATTTCTCTCGTAGGTGACTCATCAATGACTGCATAAATATTATCACCACTCTCAGGACTATTTTTTTCACTTATTCTCCCAAGGGCTTCATTCAAACAGTCATCATACTGATCACTGAATTTATCAGACGATTTGCCTTCTCCTGGTGGAGGAACTGGAGGTGGAGGACTTTTTGGTCTCGATCTAGCAATGCTTAGTGGCCTTTTGTAGCCATCAGGCTGCCTCATAAATCCAAAAGTCTGTATGTTTGTCCGTTTTTTGGGGCTCGTTGCTCTCATGCTTTGAGTTCTCATGACTACAGCTTTTTTGGCCGCCGCTTCTACAGGTAAAGCTGTTATAGCAATGTCGATTTGAGTCTGAGGCACTGGGTCAGATATTTTCAAAGATCTTAAAGCATCTTTATCCAATACTTTTTGGGCTTTAATTTGATTCGATTTTGCCACAGCCTTTGGCAGAGATTTGTCATCGTCGTATCGTTTTAGAAAAGAAGCTATTCGGCTAATTGTACCAAAATTTTCTTTTGTAGCGGGTTTCTTAGCGGGTTCTACTTTTACATCTAATTGAGTATCGTGCACCAAAGGGATATCTGGCTTAGAAACTGGCATTTTAACTTCATTTTTAGGAGCTTCTAGAGCAGATTTGGAAAATGTCTTGGTTACATTTCTTAGTGGCGAAACCACTTCTTTGGCACTAGATGTAGAACTTTCCAGCACTGGGGATGAGATGAGAGGTCTAGCATTGCTTCCAGGGTTTGGTAATGGCAACGGAGGTGCAGTAGAAGTATTGTTACCTTTTGTTAAAGTATTTTTCCGAAAGGAATTGATTTTTTGCACTATAGGCCCAACTGAAATTTTTGGAACTGGAGGTGGAGGCTTTTGATAATTAGCTGGCGCATCATTAGTCCAACCGATTGGGTCAATTATTGCGGGTGGTGCAGTTGGAGGAGGTGGAGCTGCTCGAACAACTTTGGGCTCTTCATTCTTCATAGGAGTCAAACTGAATTCTCTAAAGTTGCCAAAAAATTCATTATGTACTCCTTGAGTTGGTGAAGAATTCTGGGGAAGCAGAGAATGATTTGCTTCAGTACTCTTTGACGGCTCAGGAAATGGTGGTCCTTGCGATTTACTGGGAGATTTGAATGTTGCAGGAGGAAATTTTTTCCAGTTTATTTTTAGATTATATCTGGCATAGTAAATCAAAATTGCCATGACAGCAAGCATTGGAATAACGCCTAGGAATATGATAAACAATGCTATTACAACACCTTGATGAGCATTAGGATCAGAAGCAGGTCCACTATCTTCGGAACCGCCAGGACCAGGATATTTGCAATTAGGTGGGGCAAATCCGTCTTTACAATGACAATGGCCTCTGTTGTTGCACCAACCATTACCATTACAGTCTTCTTGACAGCTAGGAGTTTGTTTCCTCAAGCTTAATGCTTCAACGCACCTTTGATTGACACACATTTTTCCATCACCACATCTTGCACCATCAGCAGTCATTCCAGGGTCTATTTGATTGGTTCCCAAATCCACTATGGCAGTTCTGCATGGAATTATTGAGCCTTTTTTGTTTATAAAACTATGAGATAAAATAGCTACTGATTCCATGCCAAATTCTAATCTTTCATTCAAGTGTCTGCAATGCAACATTCCACACAGAACACTTTTGTTATCACATTTGAAAAAAGATTGGTTGAATTTGTTGTAGCCGCAGTTGCCATGTCTACTTCCTTTTACGTTCATATCGTAGCACTGATCGTCACTTGATTTTCCTGTTTCGCCCCATAGCAACTTGCACTGATCTGTTCTAGTTCTACAGAATCCGTGATAACAAAATGCTTTACCACCATCACACTCCTCGGCGTCCATTTTGAAGATATCAGCTGGACAGAATTCCGATTGGCCGGTACAGTACTCAGGCAAGTCACATTCATACTCAGCCGATCTGCATATAGTTCCAGCAACTTTTGGCTTGCAAGTATTCAAATCACAACATTCTCCAGTAGCACAACTTGCGTTGGAATGCAGCATACAAGTGGTGGCATTGCAGCACGGATTTTCACAATGATCAGGTAAGCCACAGTCACATTCTTCTCCAGATTCCACAAATCCATTTCCACACACTGGACTATCGAAAAGTGATGCAGGTTTATTTTTCAGGCAATAGTCCATTCCATGAGCAAATGCCAAAAGAAGATAGTTTAGGCTACAGGATGACCAATGAGTGGGTGCCATGATAGAGCTACTT